ATGTGAGAGAGACACATGGATTGGTTGGCTCCCACACACACCTCCACCAGTGCTTGGGATCAAGCCTGAAACCCAGGTACGTGCCCTTGACCAAATCAAACCTTTAGTCTGTGGGCTGACACTCTGTTCACTGCGCCAAACCAGCAAGGGCTCTTATTTTTTTTTAAATCCTCACCTGAAGATATGTTTTTATTGATTATTTTAAAGAGAGAAAAAGGAGAGAGAGAGAGAGAAGAGAGAGAGAGAGAGAGAGAGAGAGAGAGAGAGAGAGAGAGAGAGAGAACGAACTTCAGTATGAGAGAGAAACATCCATCAGTTGCCTCCTGTACATGCCCTGACTCAGGATCAGACCCACAACTGTTTGGTGCACAGGGTGACACTCCAAACAACTGAGCCATTGTCCCGGCAAAGACATTTTATTTTAAAGGACAACAGTGAGACTATGGCAGTTTTTTCAACAGACGCTATGGAAGAAAGATGATGGAATAATTTCTTTATTGGTGGAAGGAGAAAAAATGTTATAAAATATATCACTAATGATTTTACCTACACCCAAAATGGATTTGTTGTCTACCATCTCATATTTATGACTATTATGGGCGTCCTTTGGAACATTCTCTTTTAAAAATATATTCTATTGACATCAGAGAGGAAGGGAGAGGGAGAGAGAGATAGAAACATTAATGATGAGAAAGAATCATTGATCAGCTGCCCCCTGCACACCCCACACTGGGGATCAAGCCCACAACCCAGGCAGGTGGCTTGACCAGGAATCAAACCATGACCTTCTGGTTCATAGGTCGACACTCAACCACTGAGCCACACTGCTTGGGCTGGAACATTCTTTCACACTCTGAATTACTTGGCCTCACATCATCTCATCCTATATAATAATCGACCAAAGGTGGAACAACCGGTCGCTATGACCTTTACTGACCACTAGGGGGAAGATGCTTAATGCAGGAGCTTCCCCCTGGTGGTCAGTAGGCTCCCACTGGGAGAGCACTGCTCAGCCAGAAGCCAGGCTCATCGCTGGCGAGCGCAGTGGTGGTGGCGGGAGCCTCTGCCTCTTCTGCGGCAGTCGGACATCCTAAGCCGACAGTCGGACATCCTAAGCCAGCAGTCAGACATCCCTTGAGGGCTCCCAGACTGTGAAGGCCACAGGCTGGGCTGAGGGACACCCCCAAGTGCACGAATTTTGTGCACCGGGTCTCTAGTCATTATATAATTTGCAGCTTCACAATTGTGTGGCATAAAGATCACCTGTGCCAGGTACTGCGTCCTGGAGCCTTAGTCTCCTTTAAGGTGATGCTTACTTTTATTACCCACAGGTTTGACTCTGCCATCAATTATAGCGTCAATATAATCTTCTCACCAGGACTGACATTGCTTTGACCCTATTAGCGAGAGTGCTGTGCCTGTATATTGGAAATACGGCTGGTATTAGAAGCTTCTGTTCTAATGTCTATATTGAATCTTAGGGATTTGGAGTTTTGTCACAAACTGTACAGCAGGTCATTTTTCTTCGTGGCGCGTAGGCGTTCCCTACACTCACAGGGGAGAGGCGGATGGAGTTCCATCATTCCGGCAGCAGGGCCCGCATCGGGCTGCAGGCTCCTTTGGTGTGATTTGACTTACCTAAACAGCGATGGAGAGGGTGTGTAAATGTGTATCTTCAGTGCCCCTGTAGATTCATTGCTGGTGAAACAGAGCCATGGGAACTTCCTGCGGTCACTATGCACATCCTGACCCACCTATGGTGTTTGGAATGAGCACCCAGTATCTACTGGGTGCCTCACCTCTCTCCCCTGCACACCCCAGTTCTCTCCGGGAACTAAGGAGACACCAGCCAGCTGGACATACATAGCTGGCCATTAGAATGAGCTGGTTGCCACTCACCTCAAATGTTCCATGTAATGTTCCATCCAGATCTGTTCTCCTCAGGTTGCTTGAGTGCCTGTGTTTCGTGTTTTGTTTTGTTTGGTTTTGTTTTCAGGTCACTGGTTCCTGGGCTGGGTGCCTTTGGACACCTAGCACTTTTTGGCCTGACTCCTGTAGGGCCTGCAATCTGTTCCTACCTCTGCATGGATTCCCTGTGCTGACTTCCTTTCAAGAGCCTACCTCTGAAATATTTAGCATCCTCAGAATCTATATTTCTACACATGAAATATTTAGCATCTCCACTCTGCTCTACCAAGCCCTGACACTGGCCCTCCTTTCTAGATGAGACACGTTCAAAGTCTGCATTCTGGCCTGGATCTGGATTTGATTACTCATTCCTGTGTTTTGATTTTATCCCAATTTTACTCACTGTTTTCCCCAAGTGAGTGCCAACTGCTACGTAATGTTCCCAGCATGCTGCATGATGAACCTCTAACCCCCTGCTTCAAAGTAACAATTGCATTGTGTTAAGTCTCCCACATAATAACACATAAATCATTTACTATTTGCTAACGGATGGAATAGACATCATACAAAATGTAATTCCTAAGGAACTAACAGCTATCAACCACAGCAGCATGCTCCACCTCTACACGGCCATGTTAGCGTGATGTCTCTAAAATATCTTAGATGTGGGCACAGTTAGGAGGCTGAGGTGAACTGAACACAGGTTTCAGAGTAGAAGTGATGGACAATTGGATTGGCGTCTTCCAGCATCAGTTCAGAAGCTCCTTACGTGAAAAACAGGTCCCTCATGGGAACACAGAGGAGTAAGGTCCACACAAACATGCCCATTATTAACCAAATAAAAATTACCATTTTTTGTGTGTTTAATTTTTGGTAAATTACCTGCATCCTCAGGCCCACTCCCTGGGGCCTAAGCCATCAGTTGGATATCCTTAGCGCTGCTGAGGAGGCTGGCTGAGCGGAGCGCACTAAGGGGGCAGCTCCTGCATTGAGCGGCTGTCCCCTGATGGTCAGTGTGTGTCATAGTGACCAGTCACTCTGCTGTTCAGTCGATTTGCATATTACCTTTTATTATATAGGATTCTCAAGGCAATGGGCAGAATAAACTGGAGTGGGTAAAGGCTGGATGCAGGGAGAGCAGCTAGGCTAGTCATATAATCTTCCTTTGGGTAAGAAGGAAGGTTAATAGTGGACTAAGGATAGTGGGAAAGAAGATTTATTTTGAGATTGAGGCGACTGGCAAATTTTCTGCCTACAAGACAGTGAAGGGGATATTATCAAGATGGATGATGAATAACTAGTTAACTTTTGTAGCAGGTAGTTAATTTGAAACTTTCTACTCTCGTTACTTACCTTTTCCCCGCTATTCCCTTCCCCACATGGTCATTTGATTGGGCTTTCTTCAGTGATGCTCAATTATCCACCAATTATTTTTTTTCTAGAGCCATTATAGTCACCTTTTCTTGGACTATTTCGGATTTGTCAGACCCATTATAAAATTCCCAACAGATCTGTGTAGGTTTGAGAAGCGCCTACACAGACAATAACTGGAACCTCTAATGTGAGAGTGTATGGTGTCATAAAAGACAGGGGAGGGAGCGAGTGGGAATCCCTGCCCCTTGGAATTCTCCCACCATCTGAGAGGTCTAAGACACCACATCTGTTCCAGAGCTGGGGTCCCACTTGCTCAGTGCAGCCCTGCTGGGTCTGGTGGCTTTGGTTATGTTGCTCATTTGCATCAGACTCTAGTTGATACGCCAGGGCAGCAGGAGATTGTTTCTGTATTTTCTCGTTTTTGCTCTAATATACAGAAAAAGTGGGTCTGCATAGAGTCTTCACCTTCCCCTCCAGCCCAGCCCTGACCCTTCAGAATTTACGCAATGAACCCAGTGTGTCCACAGCAGCGATTCTCAAACCGTGTGCAGCGGCAGGCATGCTGGTGTGCCACGGGGATTCTTAACGCAGGCAATACCTGACTGTCTCGTGGGGGCACTGACCTTTTTCCTTTAGATCGTCAAATTAATAATAATAACAACAACAATAATAATAATAATAATAAAATGACAACAGCCAACACAATAGCTGCCTAGTGTGAATGAATCAAAATTATACTAATTTTTTAATGAGATCAGCAAAACATATATTTCTGGTGTTCCGCAGAATTTCAGGAATTCGTTCAGTGTGCCAGGAGACGAAAAAGGCATATCACAGGCCTCCAGAGGTTCGCTGTCTGTGGACTCAAAACTGCTGGGCCAGCCCTGCTCCCCATACCTCCCTCCAGGGCCCCTGGAGGCAAAGTCGCGCCCTCCCGGCTGACTTCCAAGGGGTCCTTGGTTTCTCATTTTGCTTTGACCCCCATGAACCGTGCAAGGCTTCTTCCCACTAAGGGCCGAGCCCCCATTCCTCTACCCCCCCATTCCCCTACCCCCCATTCCCCTACCTCCCCATTCCCTTACCCCCCACTCCCCTACCCCCCATTCCCCTACCCCCCCATTTCCTTACCCCCCATTCCTTTACCCCCCCATTCCCTTATCCCCCCATTCCCCTACCCCCCCGCCCCCACCCCCCCAAGGCCTCTGCGGTCTCCTCTCCTCTCCCAGGCATCCTGAAGGGAGACCACACAGCAGCTCTTGCTACTTTTGTTTCTCTGGGACCAAAGCAGGAGAGGAGGCTGGAAAGCCTCTCATCACTGCAACGGTATCGGTGATTGTTTTACATTAAAACCCCGGGGGAGGGGAGCCGTGGACCCTGACCGCACGCTCCACCGCCCTCGGGGACCAAAGCCCCGCCCGGCGCGCAGCCGAGCGGCCAGCGCGTCCCCAGCGGCAGTGGCCCGGGCGGCCCGGGCGGGCAGGGAGGCGGGCGCGGCCCCGCCCAGCGCCGGCCGCTCGGCTGTCAGGTCCCCGCGGCCACTGCGCCCGGCGCGGCCAGGTGTCCGGCCCCGGGAGGCGCGCCCGCGCGGTGCCAGCCGCTGCCCACGGGCGGGCGGGCGCGTGTGCGCGCGGGTGTGCGCTTCGGGGCTGTGTCCTCCGCGCGCCCTGCCCCCGGGTGTCTCCTCCGCGCTCCCCGCCGGGGCTCCTGCCGCCCGAACCATGGCCGCGAGGGGTGAGTGGGGACCCGGTGGGCACCGTCCACGGCCCGGCGCGCAGGGCCCGGCGGGGCAGGGCGCGCACCAGGGCGGGCCGGGCAGGTGCGGGAGGGCGAGGAGCTGAGATACCCGGCCTGAAACTTTGCCATCTGATGATCCCCGGGCTCTGGGCGGTTGGGTTTGGTGCAAAGGGAGCCCTCGCCGCCCTTGACCTTGACCTCCCGGTGTGGGCTGCATGCAGCCTGAGGGCCAATGTCGGTGCCTGGCTGGTCTGCACCAGCTGCAGGTCTGAGCTGGGCGGGCGTGGGGGATGGGCTGGCGGCTGCCCGTCCTGCTGGGGAGCCGCCTGGAGGGCCAACCTGGAGGGAGGAAGAGGTATTTTTTTCCTCCTTTCTTGTTACCATTTTGCAGCTCGGTTATGGAAGGGACCCAGGGCTTGATGCAGTAAGATTTAAAGCTGCAGTGCTTACACCCCATTTAAAAAAAAAAAAAAAAAGTGAATTCCCTACCTGTACTCCTCTTTGCATGAACCTCCTATTTTCTTTCTGGAGTGAAGCAATTGTTGCAGTGAAACGGAGGGAAGGAAAAAGAAAGCTTTCCAGGGGAAATGCTTCTCGCCATCTGGAGCCAGCGGTGATGCTGGGGCGGGCGGGTTAGTCAGACACGCGCCGTGGCTGCTACTATGAGTGAAAAATATTAAAGAAATCGAGTCACTGCGCATCCTGCCAGCAATTCACACAGAGTGACGCGGTTGCTTTGCCATAAGCATCGAAGGAAAATATTGATTATTTGTAGAAACTGTATTTGAAAGCTGTACGGACCGGCCCCTTTGATGCCTTCAAACTTGGAGGAGTTGCAGTGAAACTCTGAAGGGTTAACCCTGTCTTGTGGGGTTTTTTTGTTTTGTTTTTGTTTTTTGTTGTTTTTTTTTGGGGGGGGGGGCAGTTTAGGAATTTAATAACGTGTTGGGTAGTGAAGTCCTGCTTTTCAGGGTTCATTCCGGGGCGTGATAGAGTCACTTCTAACCAGAATGTTCGAATTCCTTTTTAAGGAAATGGCCTTGGCTGATCTGGCAGTGTGGTTGGTTGGTTGGTTCTGAACCTGGGAATGGAGTGCTGAGGGTCGGATGGGAGGACATAAATGACCTTTTGTAGATGCTGAGACAATCCCTGCCTAACGGTGTTTAATGCCAGTAATGTGTGCATGTCGGGAAAAGAGAAAGGAGGTGGGACAGATATGGTTTTAGGGGGCCGGCTGTGTATACGGGATCCCCTGGCTGGCTCCCGCTGTAGGTATCTGAACTGTGTTCAAAGACCGTGGCTTTCCCACATGCCCAGGGTCCCCAGCACCGCCAGGAACATGTGGGAACGTTCCTCACGGGCAGTGCAAGTCTCCGTGGTCAGAGTTCACGTCTGACCCAGCTTTGCACCGCCCAAACCCTTAGTACAGGAGCCTGCACACAGTAGGAGCTTTAGCATGCTCTAGGGCAGTGGTCGGCAAACTGTGGCTCTTTGGCCCCTTGGGTGTGGCTCTTCCACAAAATACCACGGCCTGGGCGTGTCTGTTTAGAAGAAGTGGCCTTAGAAGTTGGTTAAGTTTAAAAAACGTGGCTCTCAAAAGAAATTTCAATCGTCATCCTGTTGATAGTTGGCTCTGTGGACTGATGAGTTTGCCGACCACGGGGCTAACTAGGAAGCATCCAATTCCCTAGGAAGTTCCCTGGCCCAGTGGCACTATCTTAGTCCCCCTCCCCCGTCACAGGGTCTCTGTGCTTTCTGGAAGGATGTTAAGTGAAGAGGCCCCAGTGACTCAGAGGCCAGAGCTCTGGATGGGGACCGAGTTAGTTCTCCAGTCTTACCACTCAAACCCGCTTTCCAGCAATAGGCATGGACTCTGACATGGCCATTTCACTCAGCTGTTTCTTCTCCCAGGTTCATGCTGCTCATTAGCACTTACCTGTTTACAGTCTGACTGAGCTTGCAGGTGGGAGGGAAGCCCATGATAATAGTATCACTTACCGATGTTCTGTATATGATACACTTTCCGTGTAGTGTATCATTGTATCCTCAGAGAAACTGAGGTGAGTGGATGCTCTGTCACCTCCCCATTGGACAGATGAAGGAACTGAGGTTTGAAGGTCTGTGTCCTTTTCCTGAATGAAGTGGCCGATCCCCATGTCCTCCCAGGTCTGTCTGACTTCTGAGCACATCCGTGCTGTCTTACTGCCTCTGTTACTAGTCCTTGGAATAGCATAGTAAACACCACAATCATTGATTTAAGAGAGAAGAGATTACTCCATATTTGAGATTTAAAGGAAATGGCCTTTGTAAGTAACTTGGGATTTCCAATACGTTCTGAAACATCTCCGTGGACATTCGGTGGTGACGAAGGGGAGAGAGAGGAGCAGGGATGGCTGTCTGTCCTGTGGTTGAGACTGTAGGAGTGAGGGCGGTGGTTGGGCAGGACCGGCCTCAGACGCCCTCACTTTGGCCAAAGGAGTTTTCATTGCAGACCACGCTGAGTGCCAGGCGGTATCCGCAGTGGCTCATTTGTGTGGCCGGGGTGTGGAGGGACGGACTGTAGGAGTCAGAGCTACACCCATTTTTGCTGCCATGTTTACAGTGGAACTCAACCCAGATGTATGTAGTGTGACAAGGGGAGCCTGGTTCTGTGTCTTCTCTCCCTGCTTCTGGGACCTCTGCCTGCACACTACATGTTGCATCTCTACCTTTATCAATCTCTCTCACGGTGATGTTGCAAAGATGAGTGCACCCCGATTTCTTACGGGCGGCTGTGTTTCTGACCTGTATCCACTGCAGATTTTCCTGTCTTTGAGGTATAGAACACTTCAGCACTTTGTCAAACTGAAAAGAGACATTCGATGGCTAAGTTTAGTCCTTACTAAACTTAGAGTAGATTTTGGGAAGGTTGATGGTTCCCACATTGTGTCTGTGAACCCCGTGACTTTTTAAAAAGATTGAGACCACGTGTGAAGAAGGCGGAGTCAGCCACACCTCTCAGATATGGCTCACGGTCATTGGTTTAGCACGGTGTTTCCCAAACGTCTCCCATGATGAGAATCACCTGGTGGAGTTGTTAAACTACAGATTCCTGAATCCTAACTAAGAAGTGCTAAACTAGAAGTTTAACAACTCCACCAGGTGATTCTCATCATGGGAGACGTTTGGGAAACACTGGTTTAGCAGAACCGTCTCTTGTTTAATTTATTTATTGAGACATTTTTATCCTCACCTCCCAATCCTATTCCCTTCTCCCCTAGGCAATGATTCCAATACATGTGATAGACGTGTCCTTGAATTTGTAGTAAAATCAATTCTTAGACCAGTTCTTACATTTAAAGCTATCAACACCAAGTCACTGTGTGTGTGTTTCGAGGTTGTTTGGTAACTGATATTATGAACCTGTACGTATTTCTGATCTTACGTGGAAGTTTAGGTCCCTTCATGCAACAGCATGCCTTAGTCTGTGAGGGACGAGGTAGACAAGATGGAAAATGGTTAGTCCCACTCCCTAAGGAACGCACACTGAGGGGTGTGTGTGTGTGTGTGTGTGTGTGTGTGTGTGTGTGTGTGTGTGTGTGTGTGTGTCTGTGTGTGTGTATACCCCTGATAAAGATCCCCATGCTGGGCTGATTCATCTGGTGTGGGAGGGTCACTCCCTGTGACCGGAGACAACGGGAGCAGCTGCCCTTCAGCGGAGGTGGGAGTGAGCTGGATCTCAGGGGGCCAGTGGGGACTTGGCAGGCAGGAGGCTGAGGGTGTGCTTCCCTGTCAGAAGCCATGGCAGGCAGGGGCTGTGGGCAGGAAGGAGCCTGAGACGTGGTGGGGGCGATGGAGATTGGCAGTGAGGAGGGGAAGAAGGCTGGGATGATGGAGGAAGGGATGCTGTAGGAAGCCAGCAATCCTTCACAGCAAAGGCTGCTCCTGAGCAGAGGAGTGCAGATGCAGGGAAGTGCGAGGTCTGTCAGTACATCCAGAGGAACTCACCCCTGGCTGGTCAGCCGCCCACGATATTGCATTCTTGGCGTGAGTTACATTTCATCCTGGCCACGATTCTCACTGGGTAGAAGCTTGCCCAAAGCCCTGTCCTGGGCTTCCTCCCTTTCACATGGCAGATTAGGCTCTCCGAGCCCTGGCCTTTGTTTCCTACCTCACACCAGAGCATCCCAGGACCAAGAACGCTGGAGCATGGGAGGCCAAAGACACACAGCCCCCGGCATGTTTGGCTGTGTTTGGGGGGCGGGCCGGGGGAGTGAGGCCATGTCCCCAGAGGCAGCGTGCATTCTTCACTCATTATATGTTCACAGGCGCATGACTGGTCCCCTCCGTCCTAGAGAGGAACAAAACAGCTCTCATGCAGAGAGCCCTTTAAAACGAAAGGCGGAATGTAGTGAAATTTACAATCTTACCTGGTAAATTAGTCCTCAGCCTCTTACAGGAGAAACATTACTTTTTTATGAGCCTGTGGTTTCAGGTTCTTCTGGAACTTAATTCACGATTGTTCATTGACATGAGTAGCACCAGCCACTCGATACAATTTGACATTGTGTTGCTCCATTCATGAGATGCTGTTTATTAAGGCTTGACCTGTACTTCACCTGTGGCTGCCATTGTGTCTGAGCAATCACTGGTTTCAATGTTCTTGGGTAGAAACAGGAAAAGGGATGAGAGCGCTCAGCATTTCACCCTCGTTAAAGCAACAGTCTCTAAGAATATCATCCATTCACCCATCCATCCATCCATCCATCCTTCACATAGACGTCTCTTCAGCCTTCCTACAGTTCACCATCAAACACACATTGTTGAAAATCCAGCTGCCTGTCTCATTACATCTTCTAACATCGCACTAGAAAGTGCCAGCGTGTTGCTGCCAGGAGGCCAGAGCGGGATGTGCTCTCTCCAGATGTGCAGCTCTAGCCATGCTGTGCCCAAAAGGACCTGTGTTTTGTTCACGTCCCTTAAGTTCTTCTTGAGAGGCACCATGGTGACAGAGTCAC